TAAAAATTAAAAAAAAAAAAAAAGAAAAGAATGCAAGAGGAATTTTAGAAATGCTTTCAAATGACCAATTCATTGGCCCAAAAAGGCAAAAATAGTTCAGCTGTAGAGACTAAGTGGCGTTATTTATATTATTAGAATTACGTAGCTGATCAATATCCAGCAGAATACACCAAGACTGAACAAACTTCCGGTAGACTGAAGGAACCTGCTTTAGGAACAGTTTGAGATACATAAGCTCACTGCATCTATAATGATTATTGAGCATCACTCAAAACTCAGAAGGTTTTTTCCTTTTAGTCTGACTAGAAGGCTGTGAAGACTTCACTCCTCTGATAGCCAGAAATCTTCTGAACTCCATCTAAAACTATTAATGGCCAATGTGCTTTATGTCACAGGGAAAATCAGACATATTGTCTTTCACCCATCAATTTGCTAAGGAAAGATGAGCCAAACTCATCTAATCTTGCCTCATAAGAGGAGTCTCCTCTTTATACTCCTTTTGTTTTTTTCCTTCATTTTTTCCAGTTTGTTCTTTTTGAACATGGGCGAGCATAGCTACAGACAGTATTTTGCATGGAATTTCATGAGTGGCTCCAACAATGGCACTGACATGCCCATATTTCCTACTGAAAATGCTTTACTGTGTGTATTCCAGGATCATACCTGCCTTCTTCATGGTCTTGCTACACCAAAGACTCAATTCTCCTGTGATCAGCTGGATCACACCTTTCTCTATTCTAGTATTTCCTCCTGATGAGTTCCCAGTTTACATCAGAATTTATTAATCACCAAGTAAATGACTTTGCATCTGGTACTGTGAACTTTCTCCATTTCTGTTACTCAATCCTTAATGTCATCCAGACCCGATTTGACTCATTACTGAGAATACTTCTTAATATTGTCTTATTAGCATATGTCAGTACCAGTTCTAATTCTTGTTTTGAAGTCATTAATGACAATGATACGATCAGGGTAAGTTCTTCTTAGAAGAACAACTAAGAAACTCTATTAGTACTACAGGTTCCACATACAACTCTACCCATTAGTTAATTATATACTTTCAAATCTGTGCACTTACATTCAGTTTTGCTAACAATTTCATATATGGCACTGTAGCAAATAATACTTTACAAAAGACCACCTTTGGTAAATGTTAGGATCAGGCTTTTAAACACACCGCTGGGGGTTGGGGTGTCCATAATGAAATGAAATGGGCCCTACTAGTCAGTTTCCAGAGGAAACTACTACACTGCTGAAGAGGAATGCTGATGGAAGATTCAGCGAGTTGTGGGCTTCCTAGTCAGAGTTCACGTTAGATCTGCTCTGTGATCAGTCTTTTGAGCAAGGAGGACTGAAACAAGAACAGTGAAGGGAAATCCTTATTCAACTACCAAGAACTCATATCTTAAAAAAACTACCAGAAGAACTAAAAATGGTAGAAGTATTGGCTATACAATGTGGTATAAAGAAAAGCTACGCAAGAAGGAAGTACGGATAGAAAGTTCAAAAAACTTGGTACCATTATATTAGCCAGACCACTAGAAATTAAATGATAAAATACCTCCTTCCAATTTGGTATTAAAATTTTAATGGAAGTGAATCTCTTATCAGCCACCTTGTGATTATGTTAGGAAGTATCATAAAGAAAATTATGCCACACCAAGAATTTCATTTTTATTCATCTTCTGATAACAATTGTCTTACAAAAAAAAAGAATTTTGTACAAGACATAACTATAAACAACTTTTCTTTTGTCACCTAGTGGCAAAGGGAAACCTGGACAGACTTGTGACATGAGGTTCTCTGTTGCATGCTCAACTGCAACCAGTTGTATCATATTACAAGTATTGCTATGGGAATAAAATCGTATTATTTATAAGATCCGCAGAAAAAATGGGGGTTTATTGCTAATATCTAGAATGCGCTTTTAAGGGATGTAATTTTAAGCATGAGTAAAATGAATGCAGGTAAACAATGCAAATTTGCCAAACAAAATTCATCCTTAGCTTAAATCCCTTAAAGTTAGTGGAAGTACATGTGGGACAGGTTAACCCATCAGACTTATAATTCACTCTTGTTAAGCAAAGTTCTTAATTTTCCTTTCTCATTTAATTCCGTTCCCCAAAACTGCTTTTCCACTAAGACCTTTGAAAAGAACTTAACCACCAAAAGAACTTCATGATTACGTAGAGCAGCAATTCAGGGAAGTCCTTAATATTAATAAAAAAAATAACCAGTGAGCTCTGTGCAAATCATTCTGTTAATCACCTTGTTATATTCTACCCTTCTTACTCTCTTTCATTAGCCTGGATTTTATAACTCTGCTTGTAGTTTTCTTAACATAAATAAACACCACACACTTTATTAAGTTACATAATAAAAGAGCCACAAACACGCAGCAAATACATCCATAACAAAGCATGCAGAGAGTCTCTCCAGGAAGCACAATGTTTGCTTGTTTGTGGTTCAGGAGGTGCTTACAATATTTTGCTGTTGTATATAAGAACTGGGTTTTTTTCTTTTTTAAAGAACAGCTCACTTCATTTTTTGACAGTAATTCAAATCCTTAAAAATTATTTGTGACTATCAAAAATAATTTGATTTGTGAATGTTTCTAGAGGGTCTAACCAGATTTAATGTTCCAGTCCCACAGGCTTACCTTCGCTTCTGTGGACTGAACTCCCTCTAAATGGAAACCTGAGGCAGTCACATTAAAACTTGTTGTTGCCATGCAACTTTTCCCAACGCAACTATTAACAGTTTGGGGCACTCTTTTTTATTTTTCAGTGAAACATCAAAATTTTGTGCAGAATGCATATATTTTTTCTTAGGAAAAGCTAGTTTAAAAGGAAAAAGTCTTTCTGTTGACAGAAAAATGCTAATAGAAAATGTTCAACTAGTTCTACTGCCTGAGTCCTTTTGAATGTCCCCAGTCTCCACTGGTCAAGAAGTGACAACCATAAAAGCTTTGTCAGTCATTTTAACACCAGCCTGGTGTCAGATTGCCTTCTCTAAATCCATAAGACTTTCCTGGCAAAGTCTGTTCTGCAACTTTTGCAGAGGGCTCCTATCTAATCATAACACAAGTATTGAAAGTGAGGATGTCTCTCCTCTGGTTCAGCACTAGTTCAGCTCTCTCTGGAGCAATGTCCCCAGTGTGGGGTCTGCAAATCAAGGAATATGCTGCAAAATTTTGAGAGAATTCAGAGAAAAACTGTGAGACTGACTAGAACTGGGAAACAAGTATTGCATTGACTTGTAACAGAATATGTTTAGTTTATCAAAGAGAAAGTTAAAGGGCTATCCAGCTGCAACCTTAAAATACGTCTAATATGGCAACAAACATACCATAGAGGGGATTTTAAAACACCAAGCAAAGCTACTGGAAGACCCAATGATTGGAAACTGACACCATGCAAAATCTAGATTACAAGCAAGCTACAAAGTCATGACTCTGAACATGTTAGGAAGAATTGTGGTAGCTTCTCTATGCTTTCAAACCAAGATTTGATCTTTTAAAAAATTCATGGTCTATTTCAACCATAAATATCATATTTAAAACAGAAGATAATTTTAGAAAATCCTGTTTTATGCAGTGGAACCAATGAGATGACTACACTGGTCCTTTCTGACCTTAAAATATATGATTTTCTGAACGCCATTTTCTCTAACATAACACTGTACAGTCACAATGCAGTAATTTCAGTCTGATTTTTTTTTTTCTGTCTTCTGTTATGTTTTGTTTGCTTTGCTGGCTTTGCATTTTTTTGTTCCTTTTCTTTTTTGTTTGGGTTTTTTTTGTTTGTTTCTTTCTTTCTTTTACTCCAGGAATTGGTCAAGGGGTTCCAGTGGTGGCTCTCATTGTAGAAGGAGGTCCCAACGTTATCTCCATTGTTCTGGAGTACCTGCGAGACACTCCTCCTGTTCCCGTTGTGATATGCGATGGCAGTGGCCGGGCATCTGACATCCTTGCCTTTGGTCACAAATACTCTGAAGAAGGAGGGTAAGTAATTTCCTAGTGTGTGTTCTTTCTCCGTCCACAGGTTCAATTTGATGGTAAGATAGAGCCCAGGAAATTATTAGCAATATAATGCAAAAGCAATACCTTCCTTGCATGGCTGTTTCCATCATCAATACAGGTGATATATTGAAGGTATCCAGAACAAAAAAAAAAAAAAAAGGGCGAGTTAAGGCAACACTAAGGAAAGTCTACAGAATAAAACAGAGGTGTAGAAACTGTATCATATAGTTACTTGCCATGACATGTAACACATCGACAAGTACAATGTATGGTATCTTGCAGTTGCAGGTCAAGGGATTCAGTCAAAGGGCATGGGGAATTATTTTCACTGGCTTAGTCAGCTATGTCATTATACTATAGCATACTGCTGTCTTCAGGTTTCATTTAGCCCCACATGTTCATATAAGCTAGTTGGTATTTGCCTTGCCTATTGGGCATGATTCTGCACACCCACCTATATTCACACATGACTGCTTGTGCACTGATCTGTGTTTGCACTCTCCCACCTTTCTTTGCAGACTCAAGGTGAGGCAAGGATAGTATTTAGCTTTTATTATAGAAGATTCAAGTGTGGTTTTGTTGAATCATGCTGTAAGCATGTTTTGCAAGTTCCAAAGTGCATATTATTATTGAATGCCCAAATCTTTAATATTCTTTGTTCTTCTCCTCTACCCCAAAAAATATGTAAACAACCACAGAATCACAGAACGGTGGAGGTCGGAAGGGACCTCTGGAGGTCATCTGGTCCAACACCCCTGCTCAAGCAGGGCCATCTACAGCCAGTTGCCCAGGACCATGTCCAGATGGCTTTTGAATATCTCCAAGAATGGAGACTCTACAACCTCTCTGGGCAACCTGTGCCAGTGCTTAGTTACCCACACAGTAAAAAAAAAAAAAAAAGTGGTCATGAACTTACTCAACCTAAAACTCCTACTGGGAATAAGATAGTTTTCCACAAATATTTAAGTCCATTTTATATTCAGGTTCATGCAGAGTCCAGTTTTGCATCTGGGATAGATCTGAATGTGCTAGGTTTCATCTGAATCTTTGGGAAGTTGTTTCTCTGTTTTCAGTGACCTCACTGTTAACACATTTAACATAACCTTACTCAAACATGTTCTATCCCTTTGTTTGCTATGTACCTATACGGTTTCCATCTGTCTTGTCTGTGTTCTGATGTCATCATGAAAAAGAATACAGCAAGAAGAGAATTAATGCAATTTAATTCAATATATAAAGGGGGCTTATAAGAAAGATGGAGAGACACTTTTTATGAGGGCCTGTAGTGACAGGACAACGGGCAATGGTTTTAAATTGAAAGAGGATAACTTTAGATTGGGCATAAGGAGGAAATTCTTTATGATGTGGGTGGTGAGACACTGGAACAGGTTGCCCAGAGAAGCTGTGGATGCCCCATCCCTGGAAGTGTTCCAAGTCAAGCTGGATGGGGCTTTGATCAACCTGATGTAGTGAAAGATGTCCCTGCCCACAGCAAGGGGTTGGACTAGATGATCTTTAAAGGCCTGTTCCAACCCAAACCATTCCATGATTCTATTTCATCATCACAAACTCCTGCCTGTAAGAAAGGCAAGTGATAGAATCACTAGAGGCAGAACAAGCAAGTCATTTCTTACATGAGACGCTCAAGTCTGGCTTTGTAAAAGCTATTATTCTCCCTTACTATGGGTCTTCTTCCTGTGGTGGTGTCATTCCAGGTGGTGCCTGCAATATTATCAAATAGCATAATTTTTTTTAAGGTTTTTTTCTGTTTACCTTGCACTAAATAGAATGCACAAACTATGAAATTCATAAAGCTAGCTAGTGGGAATTTCTGTGTGTTCACCCTGCTTCAGAAAACTTCAGTCTAAAATGCAATGATATTTTTAAGAATACCACAAGTGAAATACCAATATTATTTATATTCATAAAAATATTTTACCCAAATACATTGGACTTCAGATGCAAATTAGGTATTTTTCCCCCTCTGTAACCTGCTTTTGAATAGTGCTTAGCAATATGAGGAGAATACTGAATAATTGGCACATTAACTGAGTTCTGCTACTAGTTTTTTCTGGTGGATGGAATCTAAGTAGGTTATACAAAACTGTGTCTATTAGACTCTAAATCAATGTAGCACATCCAAATTGCATGCAGAATTTAATTCTGCAGCCCACTGTGCAATCAGACTGTAAAGTCAAAAACCTATTTTAATTCTGGCTGCTGGCTGCGAATCAAGGTCTTCTCCAAGACACGAGATATCTTCCAACTGCTATGCACTGGATATCTGACTTAAACCATTCAAAAACCACATAATTCATGGCAGCAACAGACTCAGCACTTGCATGTTGGTATTATGCTGTTTTTTCAGTGTCTTAAATTCTCACTCATTGCAGACTGATATGGATTCATTTTCTACGTATAAGAATGTGTGTATATGTGTACTAAGCACTGCTGTGAGTTTTTAAGTTTATTTGAAAGTTTGTTTTCAGGGGGAAAAGAACTATATCTGGAGGTGAAGGAGGACAAAATATAGCTCTCTGTGTGAGTTTCGATCAGTGTGGCGCCAATCCTTCCTCTCAGAGAGATCCTCAAGGGTGTTGGACAATTGTATATCTGCCCAACAGGTCCTTTTGTATTGGGTTTCACAGAATTGTGATGTGCCTGCCTTCCCTCCTTATTATTTATCCTTCCTAATTGATTTCGCATAGCAGAAAAAGGAACGAGTTTTTATATTAATCAAGGTGCAGTACCCCTTTGCAATGTCAATGTATGTGTATCCTTGAAAAGACAAGAGACAAGAAGCTTGAATCTGCTTTATTTTAAGACCTGATTATAGGCTTTCCTCATGAAAAGGTGGACATTTCACTCACCTAAAGCAGTATTTGGGTGCATACTGTAACTGTAAGCAAGACTTCACTGGGCTGCAGTGGAATGAGGCTGCCAGCACAACACAGAGAGCTGTGCCTGCACTGCCTTGCAGGAGGTGCTGCCTGCAACTATGTGATGTACCAAGAACAGATCAGAAGGAACTGTGAAGCATACCTTGACATAAAGATGTCTTTGGAGGTAAATCAGTTTTGAGGCCTCAGTATCTCATCTCTTTTATTGAAGTTCCAGGGGGAAGGCAAGGCAGATATGCAGTTTCCCAGTGAGCTGATGTTTTAGTGTTACGAGTATCAGACATGCAGAATTAACGCAGGTGGGGTTTTTTAAGTTTGCCATAACTTTAATATCAGGGTCTACATATTGCCTTCATCTGAAGAGTCTTCAACAGAGAATTTAGAAAGTACAAGGGGGTTACATTTCACTACAAGCTGTAGCAAGCTGAGTAAGTTCCCAGTAGCTTTTACATTTTAATGACAAACAAGCTATGTACACAGGATAACCTAAATGAGAAGGCGGCTTAAATGCAACCTTCCCCATGTGGTGAGCTGGAAGAATTATTTGGCTGCTCATCACTATTGGCCCTAATTTAAAGGTCAGGTTCTCCAGGCTCTGAAACACTTAATTTCTCATTTACTTAAAAGTTGAAAATGTGTTGAACAGCATTGAGGGGTAAGAACATAAGATCAATCATAAAGACCCAAATTTAGTCCCTATCAAACCCTAAGTGAATATCCTAGTTGTTAATAACGCTCCTCTACATAAAGCTGAAGTATTTTTGACTGTATAAATCAAGGATGCCTTCTCATTTCATTGTCTTGCATAAAAGCACAAGCTGGAAGTAAAACAACTGTAAAGACCAACTATTTATAGGATCATTCAATAGATTTTAATCCTCAGAGATTTTTTTTAATTAAATGATGAATTTAAAATGAGAAAAATGAAACACTACGTTAAAACTATCTCACTTCTTAGACAAATATTTCCTTATAGAATGGGAAATGACTTCCAATATTCGAATGCAGTCTCCAAGCTGAGTTTATAGCATATTAACTACTCCGTCAGCTCTACTCCTGCAAGCATGAGACCCTTAAGGAATTCATTTCAATGCCATAAAAATATACTTCTTGCCTAATGTTCACAAGGAAACATAAAACATTCTCTGTGCTTTAAATGAGCATCCTCATATGAGAATCATTAAAGATTGCCTTTGGATTGATCTGTCTCTGCATCCACTGTGGCATGGTTTTTAGGCTTCATAACTGTAGTATATTACTTAAATCTCTTTTTTTCTAATAGTGAAAATATAGGGATTTTTCACTTCAAGCAAAAGAAATCATAATGAAGGTATGATGTGGGTCTTCTGTATCCCCCATGGTGTCTGCCACATCATTGGGGATCATGGGTACTATCACATCTGAATTATTTTGTAAGATTGTTTTCACATTGCATATTTTGATATCATTACTTTTCTCTTGTAACAAAGTACTTTGCAAATCAAAAGCTGGATAGAAGGTCATTTCTTTTTTGAAATACAATCATCTCTCTTTTAGTGAAGGGACAACCATTTAATAAACATAGCCAGAAGAAAATGATGTAGAAGAACAACCACCAGTGAAGAGCTGCAAGTAAAGCTGATTCCTCATAAAAGCACCCAGAAATCATCCCTGTTTGAATAGAAAGAAGGAATAATTACATTTATTTTCTGTCTCTTTTCATAACAATGCTATGCAAAATGTCTGGATTTAAAAAGTATGAGAAATTCAGTCAGTCCCACAGAGCTGCACAACTGTGTCTTATTTGTAATTCCAATGGAAGAAAATATCAGCAGAGCTTCTGGTCATGTTTCTTACATATGGTGTGATTTTCTAAAGTGCAAATCATAATTAAAACAGAAAATCCCCTAAGCTTCCCATAAAGGAGGGCAGGGAATAGTTTTCACATCACACTGATATCTTATGGATATATTTTCTTTATCCTGAATTAAAAAAAAAAAATAAAAAAAAGAATTCACAAATGAAAAGTTAGAAACACATTATATGCAGTTCGTTGAATAGATTGTTTCATTTAGAGAATTTCAAAGCATTTTGCTAACAATAAGTTTAAAAAAATGTATCATGAACTTGCATTTTGAAATCAGGTTAGAGCATAATCTTTATAAATCTCTAGTACATTGTACAACTCCAGTACGAAATATCTCTGGCGAAAAAAGACTAAATAATTTAGGGAGCTGGCTATGGGCTAGATCTTTCAAATCCTCTCCAATGTTCACTACCAAATCATATGCCATGAGTTTGAAAGACTGTAACGTCATTGAGTGGAAAGTCTGTTATCTCCTCAAATATTAGGCATGACTTCAAAAAAAATTTCTTCCTGAGGAGGGAGGATGCCAAAATGCTGTCATCTGTCTCTTCTGCATCGGCCAAAGCAATGAAGGGAGTTCTGCTTTGCTATTTAATCTTCCAGCATATCTTGGACAGAAATAGAATGTCACTTTATTTACTTTGTCACTTCAGTGTTTTTAAGTGGCCTCTCCTGATGGATCCAAGACATCTTTCTCCCTTTTTTCCTATGGTAAGGCCATACAGGTCAGTTCTGATAATCTGATGCATCAAAACTAATGTAGGCATCTTCTATAAAAAAAAATAATAATAATCAGACTTAGCAAGAATTATGAGTAGATATTTTTTCTGAATCTAAATGTAGATGTATATAGTTCTACTTCAGATGCCAGATTTTTGATAGTAGGTATCTAAATTCCAACAGCAATCCAGCTGCTCTGGGGAAAAAAAAAAAGTTGGATACCTGGACTGGTAGGAAAATGGGCTTATCTTAGGCGTTTAGGGAATGAAAGAACAGATTTGAAGTATGTGGGGGATGAAAGAAAAGAACAGGTTAAATTGTACTTTTGTAGGACATTTCTTTTAGGCACGAGCAAGTTACCTGCAGTATTGCTTCCATGGCAAATTAAATGGAATTCAGGGAATCATGCCATCAAAATGCCACAAACAGGACTTTACTGGTATGTTGCAAAATATTTTCTGAACTGAAGCCTAGCAGAAAGATGATAAAAATGCTATCTTCATCTGACACTATCCAGTTTTCTTAAGGTGGGAATACGCTGACTTTGAGGAAGTCATAATCGTAGAGTTTCAGTCTGGTAAAGTGAGCAGTTTTATGCGTATGGAGCTTTATGCATACGAGGTTCATATTCCATGACAGAGGCTGCTGAATATACTGTTACCAAGTTAGTGGCCAAGAATCTCCCATGTTCCAGGTTAGACCTCTAATCACAAGACTCAAGGAGCCATCTCTTTTCCCCCGAGTCTAAAATTAGGAATGGGTAATTTTTAAAAATGTGTGCTAAAGTTGCATGTGTAAAAAATGTGGTTGTCTTTGCAGAGTGGATAAATCATCACCCCACCTGCAAGTCCCAGTTATTTTGCTCACAGTAGTCTGTGAAGTTACTTGTTTTACCTGCATTGGATTTGGTGTATGCATCATAGATTTAGCCTTTAATAGCCTGGCATAGTTTATATTTGTCCCAGCTGGGTTACACAATTGGAAAATTTGATCTGATACCTTCTAACATTTATCGATTCCTAAGGAGTAAATGTGCTATAGTCTGATATGACTAATTTCAGTTTACACAAAGCTTAACTCAGCTTGATTACTTTATCAGAAAGCTTGCTATTATTATTTCTATTTCTGATTACCATCACTTCCAGTTTTTCACCTCACAAAGACATTGAACAGGCTTGCTGTAGAATTGCAGACCAATGAAATGTTACAGAAAGTACTTAGTAAGGCTAGAAAACTGCATAAATCAAATGATGACAACAGGAAGTTTCTGAGCAGTGGTATTTCAGCAGATGTGTACACCTGTAGTTAGGGAAGCACTTCTTGATACTTGTTTTTGAAAAAACTCCATATCTTTCGCAAGGAGTTTGCTTTGCATGCTGTTTAAATTTATGACATGATACAGTTTCTGATAGCTTTAATTCAGGAAAGGAAAGTGATGGCTGCTTACGAAGCCTCAGGACTTAATCCTGCTTTCACTCAATAGTTATGAAAGCAAATTTCCCTTGCATCTGTGTGTGTTAGCCTGAGAGAGATAGCCAATTTCTGAAATCAGATATATCAGGTTTGGATTCTACACTTTTTTTAAGGAAAATTAAATTATGATGAGAAAACAGGATGGTTTTCATCCCAGAATCTTTGGAAATGTTTTCTGAAGTTCTCTAATGTCAGATCCATCCAATTCCATGTATTTTTTCATATACTTCATATATGTTTCATAGTTTGTCATGTACTTCACTTTCATATATCATTTCCAAAGCAACTTAGAACTTTATTTAAATCTCTTTTTAGATTCTCCAGTTGATGCTTTTAGGAAACTTGTTCTTAGTGATTAACCCCTTTTGTCTTTCTTAGTTTGAAGGATGCAAAGTTGCATAGTTCTGAACCACTTGTATTTACAGCGATAACACCATTTTGTTAAGAATAGCCTTCTTGATTAAAACAAATTTCCAATTGATTTTTTTCAAAAAGCCTAAAAAAGGAGCTTCAGAATTTATATCATATATGACCTACTAATCTGCAACTTAAAGTATGTTAGTACCTTTCAGGGTGTCAGCCTTTTCAAGTTGATTCTCTTTAACATGGAGTGAATCTACATTTCTACCTGTGCTCTGACATCTTGTTTCATGTTCCCATGTGCTCGCAACATCCTTGCTTCTATACAGGTGGTCAGGCTATTTTTCTTATAACCCCCACACAGAAAGTCCTCTGCTGTCAGCTTTCATTACTGCCAACCAAGAGGGCTGGGGCTTTTAACTCATTGTACGTTGCCTTTTTGTGAGAGAAGCAGGTCACGCTGCAGGGAAGGAATGCTTACATAGTGAATGAGCAGTAAATGCAGTGTTGTCGCCTCTCCAGTATCCCAGGAAAAAGCACATCTGGGGCCGTACTGCTCCTCAATGAAAAGAGGAAATGCAGAGCTAGACTCTCCATTCAAGAGGAGTCTGTAATAAAGTAGAAGTCAACAGGAGGAGCCAGGCATAGAAAGAACAGTGATCCACAGCATGGTCTAAAACCCCATGTAAACTCATTTTAATCCAAACACATTGACATATGCCTTACAGGCTTCTTTGTGAATTGGAAGTCCTACTCAACAGGGATATTTACAGTCAAAGTCAAATTTAGAGAGTAGAGAACATATGTGCTCCATAAGCCAGGCCTTCTATATTCTCCTATGCACCTCTATACCTCTTTTCCATTCCCATTCATTGTCTCTTCTAACATGTTTGCTGTATGTATGAAGACTAGATAGTTAAATCATATTTGAAATTCAGTTGTGCAATGAATATCCTGCAGTCTCATTTGGGCTTCCTTGCTGCAGAGAAGTACAGGCAACTTTTACCAAAAGTATGAAATAAACAGGGGTTTGGTCATTGTTCTCCCAAAGCAGCTGCCATAAGCTAACAGTGACTTTTAGATACTGTGCTGCTGCTGATAATTCTTTGCAGTTGCTGCAGGGCTAAATCTTATCTTCTGTCATAAAATATGTCATGAAGATTCTCTGATTTTCATTCCCACAGATGAATAACAATGACTTATCCTGTAAAACATTCTGACTCAGCTAATCTGAAACACTCAATTACAATTTTTAAGTGAGAAAACTGCTGTAGTGTAGAAGCTTTCATACATCAAAGGATAGATGTTCTAAATTAGAGCCCACTATTTTGTAAGACATTAAGAACAGCAATGTTTCACCCAGAAGAGTCCTGAGGAATAGGCTTTTTGATATCAAGGGGTAGGGTTCAAGTACTAATATTCCATGTAATATTAATTTTTATTTCTGCTGTTGAGCCACTTTTTGCAAGTACTAACATTAGCACTGAAGAGGAATATAAAAATGGTTACTCTTTAAGCTCCTGGAAGATCAGCATGAACAAAAGCAAAATGGTTTCTTCTAGTGGACGCAGAAACAGAGAAATTTTTTTTTTGTTTTCTTACCTGGTCCTGTGCAGCATCAATACGGTGAATTGAAACTGTTGGGATATTCAAGCTAAAATAAAAAACACTGACAACAAAAATGCTCCCAGTTTCATAAAATGAACCATGAGTTCAATTCTGCTAAGTCACTGATAGAAAGGAGTCTTCACTTCACCTAGAAGTGTTGGTCTCCCTCAAATCCAGACTGTCAGTGTGGTTCTTGGTTTCGTTAGGAAATCCCACAGAGCTGATAGTTTGAATGACCTTCTGTCATGCAATATGTGGAAACTGAAATAAAAAGTTTGGAGATGAGGGACCCCAACATGATCAAAGTGTTTTTCTAGAACAGTGTTTTCCAATTTGTCTCTGATGATTTCAACAATCCCTGTCCTTCAAACCTGTCCAAAACAACCGGCAGTGATTTGTTATCTAGCTCTTATTTGTTTGACCTTTGACTGAAGTTGTAATGTTCCCTCATGTCTATTTTTCTACTTTATTTTTTCTTTTTGAATTTCAGACTTATCAACGAGTCTTTGAGGGACCAGTTGCTAGTTACCATACAGAAGACTTTCACATACACCCGAACCCAGGCACAGCACCTCTTCATTATCCTCATGGAGTGCATGAAGAAGAAGGAGCTGGTATGTTCACACTTTCCTTAGAGGCAAAGAGAGAGCTCAATGCATTGTTTTGATCAAGTCTTTCAGGTGCCTCTTGAAGGATTTCACAAATCTGATCACTGTGATCCAGACTCTAAAAGGATAGTACATCATGCTGAGCTTTGTTTGCTTTAACCTATATTTTCTCATTTAAAGTGATTAATCCAATAGATCTGTTCCCTTTGTAAATTCCTCTACATTTCCTTTGACAGGACAAAATTCAGCTAGTAGAGTATGGATATTATTACTTTTCAGTCATCCTCAGGTATATCATGATTAAAAATCTACCTCATTCAACTGCAGAAAACCTCAGAAGGAAGTATAATTGTTTATCTGTCACTGGGATCATATTTTAAAGATGCTGTAGAGTTGTACAAGTATCACTAGAGCTATTATTTTATTATGGAGATGTGTGACAGGAAAAGAAAATAGCTTGCCTCCAAGGCTCCTATTCTGCAGTGGCAAGGCTATTCCTTTAACACAAACTTATACTTTCTTGAAGAACACAAGATCTTTCAGCAATTTCTGGGAACTCCATGAGGCTGCTTTTGCAGAAGCATTTTTGAAGCAAAATCACATTGTAAAAAACTTGGGGTTCAATTCCAGGGGTTTTTATTTCTTACAAGCTGACTGAATAGGCATGCTTCAATTTTGTAATTTAATCTTTCTTCTAAGCTTTGTTTTCGGTTCATATTGCAGCTTCCTGGAATTCCAGGCTGATGACAGTCTGCAACACTTTGTGCAGGGTAACACGTAAGAGGAAAGATTAACTCAGTTGTTTTACAGAAGTTTCATTTTCTGAAACTGTGTGAATTTTTTGTGACTTCATCCTCTACAGTGTCTTTTAATTTTAGTTGAAAATATGGCATAGAGTAATTAATACCACTGGAGGGGAATGGGGAAAAATGGTTAGGAAGTGTTAAAAAAAAAAAGGCGTCCCTTCTAGACAGAGCTTTGCAAAATAGCAGATATTTCTTTACATGGTTTAACTTGCCAAAGCGCACTATTCTGTTCAGCAAGCAGCAGTTCGTGCATCCATCAAAAAGTGGTCAGCCTTCCTCATGCATAACTAATCATTTACATGTACCACAATCACCTGGCACATACCTTGGACAATGGTGGAGAGGAGAGAATCCCAAGGACAACTTTTCAGGGAAGACATGACAGCAGCATGCAGTTCCACTAGGCCATTGCAATGTGGATGGTTGGTGGAACTGGACAGACAGCAGTCCCTGCTGCCTTCTTCCTCCCACAATCAGAATTCAAACTGTATAGCAGACTTTAAACACCCTTTAGCTATTCACAAGCAGTCAGTGCAGCCCATAAGGTATAGATTAGTCATCCCTTCTCTAGGTGAACTACATCAAGATAGAGAGTTCTTTTTTCTTTCTTTTTCTTTTTTTTTTTTCCCCTCCAAAATCTCCTGTGCATTAAAGACTCTCAGAAAAATATGATTGTGCTACAGAAATACTTTTCCTATCCATTTATGATTGTCAAGATGTACCATGACCTCCATGGCACTTGAGTTTGCTTTACATATGTAGTACATATGTGCCTCAGTCTACCTTAATGTTGAATTTGCTGTAACATTTCTTATCAATGATTAGCAGAGAGAACCTCCTTAGGGAAACAGCATTAATTATTTTATGCCCATTTCTGTTAATGTAATGATGATTATAATAATAATACATACATATAGGACCTACTTATGAACCAGTGTTCTGCATGCAAACATAAAAAACTTACTTAATTATAGAAGATTGAAGAAAGGAATGAGGAAGGGAGGGAGAGAGAGAGGGAGAGCAAAAGGGAGGGAGCAAGGGAGGTAGGAAGGCAGGAAGGAGGAAAGGCAGGAAGGAATGAAGAATAGAAAGTAGAGGCAGACATTGAATTACCAAGACTGGAAAAATGCAATTCTGGATTGTTCCAGACATCTAAATCCAGAACTGGTTGTTAGGCTTTGAACAAACTCTGCTACTGCAAACTTAAGTGTGAAGTTCTTGTCTGCAGTATTCACATCAAGATTTTTATTCCAAACAGGGTTATGCATTTGTTACAAGTTTCTTTGCAGATGTGTAACCTCTGTCACCACTGACATTCTTTACCTACACATCTTGTGAAGACCTATTAGCCAGGAGATGGTTTGCCCAAAATTAGGTGTTCTGAATTTAAATTTACACCACTAACCCAACCATATGTAAAGAGAATACATTAAAGCGGTTTCTCTCTGGTACCTCAGTTGTACTCAGAGCATCAATTTTAACAGTGGTATGCTAGAAAGATTTTATGTCTGAGGTGTGGTTACTAGGCAAATGGTGTCCTTTAAGACTCATAACCTTGTATATGAATGTAAAAGAAAGATGATACTCATAATGATGAAGATAGCATTACCAGAGGAGATGGATGACCCTGGAGATGTGAAGTATTCCCAGGAGTGAGTGGTGACTTCACTGGTTCTACAAAGCCAGATGTTTCATATTTTCACATCTGTCCCAGCTCTCGTCCTTCCTCAGGCTTGACCTTCTGATTTGGTTGTGCATAAGACAAAACACTGCTTGATGAACTGACTTCATCATTAGTCTGATCTCCCCTCTCCCTAAAGAAACAAATACAAGGAAGATGCAAAAGACTCTCAGAGAGCTCAGCAGCAGCCAAATTCATCATGGTTATTTTCCCTAAGTTCATGGTCAGTGTGCCTGACTGTCTGACTTTGTGGCTGCTGGATTCATAGGGTAAAAAGTAGACTGTGAAGGAGAGGCTTGTCATATTACAGTGTGCTGCTAAACAATTAAGTGCAAAGAGGGTACAGGCAGGAAGATGCTCTTATAGTAAAGTACATAAATACAGATGAATCACAGATGTGGAGAGAGGAAATAAAATGCAAGTTAATCTCTGGAAAGGAACAAAAAGCTATCTTTGAAATAATTTCTCCTACTCTACCTACTTAGAATGTGTAAAAAGACTGGCATCTCTTTTATAAATTTGACATAAGTGTGGTGGCCAGGGAAAAAGCCTAATCATAACAAAAATTACTCCCTTCACAGAACATCAGATTTTTCAAGTTCTGACATTTTGGACTTCACTCTTAGAGAACGGTCTCTGAATTGTATGCCCAGGGAGCATCATTATTATGATGCACAATGATCCATTTATTTGATAAAGTGTAAGTTTGTTTGTTGAATAAAATCTGAGTACACCAGCTGGATGATAAGGAGTGGCCATAGCTGAGGAGAGACCTAAGTCTGTTAGGTTTGCAAGACAGAGCAAATTCCACTTCTCAGTTTAATGAGTATTTTTAATTAAATAGTAAACTTAGCTGTGATGATACTGCAAGCATCAGAGTTTATATTCAGAAATGTATTTGGACCAAGGTGTTTAATGAGGTCTATGGTATAAAAATCTATTTCAAATGAAGCAGACTATACAGCTCTGTATATGTAACTGTAGATTACAAGGGTAGGAGAGTGTTTTGTATACAGTTTATGGAGATTCTCTACTGTCACGTTTACATAACATTCAAAAAAATTTTGTGCCAAGAAGTTCCTAAAATAGGAGCATGAAGGCTCACCAAAGCTAAGTGAGCAGGAAGCAGTATTGTAAACTCTAGTCCGCACTTTTTTTCAAAAAGCAGCATGAACACTTTTTCTACATGTTCCCATCGTCCCCCATGCAGCTCATGAGAAGCTAAAACAGCCCATTTGACAATACCTTGCCTGCCACAAAAAAAAAAAAAAAAAAAAAAGAAAAGAAAAGAAATGGAGGGGAGGGAGAATTTAAGAAAAGAAAGAAGAATTTTTTCCTTAGGACATTTGCATTCCATATCAATTAGTCCAAATCTACAATAAGATGGAATTCCATTAAAAAAAAAAAAAGAAAAAAAAGTAGAATGAGACAGATTTCAAGGGTATTTTTGATCTTTAGTTTTACTGTGGTTACCTTGCTGATCTCAGAATACAAAGAGCAGGTGAGGGCACTGTCTGAGGACTCAGTCTGGCAGGGACATTTCCCACTGCAGCTGCAGCTTGGTCCCGGACTCAAGTGACAGTGAGGAAGGGAATCAGTCAGATAGCAGGCTAGGAGAGTTCACTTCAGACAGTCCCTGAAAACACGTTGTGTTGGGTTGTAGTTCAGACATCTGTTTCCAGCTATGCAAAGAAGTATTTATTTCTGTCTCCGTAAACAAATTAGCCTTATTATTTTCCCTTAAAGACTAATTCTGGCGTTTGAGATTTCTGACAAATACAGGCTGCTCCATTCTTTTAGGAGTACTTAATCATTTTTCAGATTAGACTGGCATGTTGCTGGAGTGCTTTGTTCACAAATCACAATGTGAATTTCTCAGAAGCCAGAATGTGCTTTCCAACAAGCTGCATGGGTCCATCTGTGGAGCTTCATTGGGCAAGCACTGGGAAAGGCCACTTTGGCAAGCCAGAAAGGTCCATGGCCCTGAAAACAACCACATTTGTTGCAGTGAAATAGATTTGTCATAAAACTAATGCTTCCAAAATAGTGCTCTGAGAGTGAATAGACCTAATCTTATATCCATTTAATAGAAAAGGCATTTGCTGTGAATCAGGATAGGTCCGATCTTAGTACCTTAGTAATCAAAAAATGGCACCTTAACACCAGCAGTAAAGACTGTGTACCGCCTGCTGGTTAAGTTTGTTTTCTTATTACTGCCATGACCATTTTCTGCTAATTTTTTTCCTTGAATATTTGAAGGTTCAGTTACTACATTAACCAGACTGATAGTGTCATTGCCTACCACTGCATTACAAGAAGGATTTGCAGAACAAAGAGCGTATGGATGATGGTCATAGGTTTGTGTGCATCCATGAATTCCTGAAACTCATTTCCACATAGAAGCAACAGACACAATTTAATTAGTTTCTTGCTAAAAGAGAAACAATAAAATCCCATCTCTATCTCCTGTCAGCAAGTAATGTATACTTTTTACTTGGCTCTCCTTTTCTCTGTTATTC